CCTGAAGGGAGGTTCCAAAGAGGATGGAGAGAGGCTGTTCTCAGAAGAGGATGGAGAGAGGCTGTTCTCAGTGGTGACAGATGGCAGAACAAGGAGCAATGGGCTCAAGTTGTGGTGGGAGAGGTCCAGATTGGACATTAGGAAAAACTATTTCCCTAGGCGGGTGGGGAAGCACTGGGCTGGGTTCCCTAGGGAAGTAGTGGAGTCTCCATCCCCAGAGGGGTTTAAGTCTCGGCTTGACAAAGCCCTGGCCAGGTTGATTTAGTTGGGATTGGCCCTGCCTAGAGCAGGGGGCTGGACTTGATGGGCTCCCGCGGTCTCTTCCAGCTCTAGGATTCTATGCCTCCGGGGCCTTTGCCCCCACCCAGCCCCAAGAGGGGGCAGCATCACACTGATGCCCTGCCTAGGGCACCAGCTGGCTTGAGCAGCCTCGCCCCTGTCTGTCACATGCGCACACCCGCCCACACGCACTGCCCTGTGTGTCACACACACCCACACATGCCCTGTCTGTCACATGCACCCACACACGCACACTGCCCTGTCCGTGTCACACACCCACAAACATGCACTGCCCTGTATGTCACATGCACCCCGCACTGCCCTGTATCTCACACACCCGCACTGCCCTGTATCTCACACACACGCTTGCTGTCTTGCATGTCTCTGGAGCACACACAGTCTCTTTCACACTCCTTTCCCCACACACACACCCGGTTGGTGCTCCTGGCCATGGGTCCCTGCTCCCTGCGATTTCAGTCTTGCAGGGCTGTTCTCGGGATGGACTGGTCTGTGCAGTTCATCACGTCCGCTCCTCTCGCACTCTACGTTTCGTTCTTTGAGCGGTGAGCTCCGAGGGCCTGGCCTGGCTGGAGCCACCATCCCTGTGGAAAGTGCTCTGGTGTGGCCGTGCGATCAAGGCCTTTCTGCGAGCAGGGAAACCTACCGCGGGCACCCAGCTGTTCTTGTTCATGGCATGTGGAAAAACAGAGAGCAGGCCCGCAACACAGCCCTTTGCGGGGGGCAGGTTCGGCGGGGCGGGTTCGGTGGCACCAGCAGGT